AATTGTCTCATCTTGTTTATGTCCAGTAAGAGCTGTAATTTTCCCCTCTAATAAAGTTTTCTATATAGACTAACAGTAAATCAGGGGACTAATTATACGTGCTAATGGTACGTGACATAAAGGAAAATATGTTGTAAATATTTATACTTGTGTTGCTGTTTAATAACTCTTAAAATTACTTCTGTGCAAAAATGTATGTTAGTGTATGGAAGTCTACAAAGCAAAGAAGTTTGTTTTAATGCACAATAAAATACACAGAGGGGAAAAAATTACAGATTTTAGGCCTCTTTCAAGGTACTGGTGGAATTTGCAATGTAGAAAAAGTGCTCAGACTTAGATTTAAACTTAAACATGTTTTATGGGGTAAATTCTAGTAAAGTAACAATAATAATATCCTAAGAGTCTCACAATAATGTCGTGGACCATCAAAATGATATCAAATTACATTAATAGTTATGGTAGCAGTAGCTTAAAAGTAGCTTAAAAAACAGTGAACTACATAGACCATGATCCTTTGCTCTGTTTCAGTGCAGGCTTTATGCAGATATAACTGTTATAAACACTTATAAATCTCAGTTCTTTGGATTATGACAGAACGAAGGCTTGCATTTAAAAGAATAAAAGTATTATTCACAATTTTGCTATAATAATTTCACACGCAATACCAAACCGTGAGCTGCACATCATGAAAATATAATACAGAGAGATTTTAATATTGTTAATTCTCTTTTTATAATTTCCATCAAAATATAAGATTAAAAAAAATTTACAAATATTACACAACTTTCCAACTGTTTATAAATTTGTTCTTGTTATTCTTGTTATGAGCAGTGAAGTTATTTCAAATATTTCGGCTGACTATTTGGAGTATTTGCGAGGCATGTGTACACTCAGGGAGGCCCACTCTGAACAGTGAGCCCCACTAATGCACAACTTAGCAAGATAAGCGCCGAGTAAGAGGTGAGGATTTGGATCATCTCTCAAAGCTCAGCTAAAACAAATGGTGCAGCTTGACCCAGTTTTGATGAAGTCCAGCAAATAATGGATCTCGAGGGAGCGACGGGTGTGTCTGGGAGAAGGCGAGAGTCGGTTTATTTCACTGTAAGAAGCTCTGTTATAGATCTGTCTAAATATACGTCTCAAAGAATTTCCACTACTACACAACCAGAAAAATATCAAAATTTTAAGGTGCACTGTGTAACTAGTTGTTAGTCTCCATGGAGATATTGCTTTGCTTGGAATGTGTCACAGTATAACATTAAAGTAAAGCTGGTGCAAGTTACATGGTGCACCTTTAATTGTCATAAAAAGTCCTCTAGCCGCTATAAAAAGAAATTGAGAAAAAAAAATTATCATATTTATTATTTATTTAATTAAACGTGGTAATATCTCAGTTTAAACTTTTATCTTAATGTAATTTTGCGGTGATAGTGCTTAGTGGTTACGTTCATCCAAAATCCAAATGTTTGCAGTTTGATCCTAGCTCTGATTGCACACCAGTGTCCTTGGGCAAGACACCTCACCCTCCTTGCCAAAGTTATCAGTGTCTGATTGGTGGAGGGGTTGTAGCTGCAGTTTGACCGCCATACTTCTGCCAGTCTTTGTATACAAAATTGACTCAAAACCAGACCAGCACCACAAATTTTTCAACTCTCTCCCAGCTCTATGGTTGAAATGAGTTGCAGGCGCCCACACTTCTCACCTCTGCAGTGGTCAGGAGCAGCCCTTCCGGCACATTCCTCTTAAGGCAATAGCTGTGGTTTCACAAAAGGCCCTGAACAAACCACCTCTCCATCTCACTCTGCTTCAGCTTTTCATCCAGCAGAACTTCCCCTCAGTCTGCAGCCGCTCTTTAACCTGGATGGAATTCATTATCGAATGTTGTAAAATAGAAAGTTCTTTTAAAAAATGACTTAATGAGGTTGTGGGAATAGAGCCATGTGCTTGTTGTGAAAACATTTTGATTGCTGAAATTCTCAGAATGAGTCCAGTGATGGTTTATGGACTTAAAAACTGTGCAGGAGACTTTCAGATTTCTGATCTGTGACATAACCATCCAGGGAAAAATGAAACGCAGTGCTTTCTGAGCACTCAGAGAGAGCATGACTTTGTAAACAAGACTGATGAAAGGAGTGTGAATGAAGCAAATATAACTCCAGATATGTTTTTGATGAGAGGACAACCATTTTAAGCAAAAAGAAAAAATACATTTAAGATAGAACGAATATTACGTGCTTCTCCTGAGAGTTGACACAAAATTGTTATTGCTTCAGTTTTACTGTCACTCCATGAGCATCACTCAATCTGACATAATAGGAAGTGTGGCTGGGGAAAAGTAAAGTAGTAGTATTATGTTTCAGTGTTACATACTGTGTTACATAGTATAGCGTGGATAGTATATCTCAACAATGTCATGATAAAACTCCCCAGATTGTCAGGTCATCACAGCATCATTCCAAATTGTAGATTTCTTGTATTGCTTACGATTCTGTTGTAAAGCCGTGAGGTAAAAGTTTGTTGCACTCCTCGTAACAATATTGTGCAGCTGAGTTTGTAGACCATCTCAGTTTGAATCTTGAATCAGAGTGCACTCCAGACGCACAGACCACTCATTGAACACTTCCAAGTTTCTTTTTCAGGCCTTAATCTTTCCTCCTCCCCCTCCTCCTCCCCTTCCTCTTCTTCCTCGTTCCCCTTCGCCCATAATGGCTTTACATTTAAATTCTAATCACCACTCTTTGAAGGCGGCTCATTGTTTGCCAGCGTCTCATTTACGTGACATCCATTCGAAGCGACTTAGCCCTGTTATTGTTGTACTGTGTGTGAGGTATGGAGCACAGTTCATCTTGATTACTTGAATGGAGGCCCATGCACATTTTTGGCTCTGCACCAGCCTTTGCCCTGTGCAGCCTCAGCACTCACATGTTCTTCCTATTAACCTTCTTTCAGAGTTATTGATGAGTGTCTTTGGGAGAATTTAAAACAAATCCTTAGGTCTGGACACTGTTTACCGCCGGGATTTAGATTCTTGTATAATGTCTCGGTCAAGGTAACGCAGAATAGATTTTTGCATGACTAATTTGACCACAAGTTTATGGAAACAATGGTTCACAAAGGTGGCTGTTTAAACGCCATTAAACATTTCCTAAAGCTATTTCGTAGCATAACATTGCACATAATGAATTCCAGTATTTTTTCTTTTTTAGTTTGTCTGCATTGCAAACTAAATATCTGGGAATCAAACTGTTTCTTTGGCTAAATTATACTTGAGAGACATTTTTATGAAGCAGCACTTTTGAGTAAATGGATAATGACTATGCGGTCTGGGCATAACTGTTTTTCAGTATCGTATCCTTGCCCTATCTCAACTGTCCTCTATATTAAATCTACATATGATACAGCCCTCCTGTGCGAGTTTATTTGACTTGGCTGGGAGTTGCCTGTATAAAGTCATCTCTACCTATCAGCAATATCTTTAAAAATGTCTTATGCAAACATGTCAGAATGATCCCAAAGTCATTGCGTTGTGAGGATGATGGTGGGGAGGGAGGGAGCGGGCGCTAACGTCTCATCTGTCAGCAGCTGAACATTCAAAAGCACTAGACTGGTATAATGGTGCTCTTAAAAGGCTCATTACAGACACCTATCTCCTCCCTGATGTTTTCAGTGGGCATTCTTCATGCCTCTCACATCAGTGCGGTCCACAGGTGCAGCGCCCAGATAAAAGCTGTTTTTGCCAGAGCCGTGAGCTGAAACGAGGAGTTACTGGTGTTTTTATTGCTCAATATTACCTTGAACAACATGGATTCTTACTGTAAGTGGGGTAACCTCTGCACAGATTTGACCTGTAGCTTGGTCTGCTTGTCTGCATGGAGATAAATGTGTTAAATGCCATACTGCAGAACATCCCAGGCAATGCAATGATACCACCATGGATACAAGTATATGAGTGACTCTTGACCAGAAAATGTACATAGTCGACCTTTAAAATGAACCATTTTTAAGTTTTTAAAAAGAAAAAACTTACTTTTGAGAGTTGTTTTTGTAGTTGCATACCCACAGGTAATATGTAAAAACTCAATTCATGGACTGATAAAAATAATGGTAGGTTCTTGTCAATATTTCTTAACCACAGTCCTACTGTGTTGGCCACTTTTCTCTGCCTTCACAACTAATGCTAATGCAGAATTTCATGGAGCACTTTGTAGCTCATGTGGTCAACCACAGGCTGTAGCAATGATGTCAGAGGGCCGTCATTCTACAGTTTAATATTTTTTTATGTTTAATAAGAATGTTAAAGTCTAGGTCTATGAGGCTGTATATTGCAAGTTCAGGACATTCCACGTCCCTCAGCCAAAATGGATTAGTAACTGAACAAACAAAAAAGTTGCCAGTAAAATATTTTTTTTATATAAAAGAGCTTGGTGGATGAATTATTAGATCAACCCAAGATTAAGAAGCTCTTTTAAGGATTTAACTTACAAATACAGAAGCTGCAACTGGGAATCCTGACTTCTCTCCACCACATTCACACTTTGATGCCTCTTAAGAAAAGCAAGAGCATTTCTGACGCCAATCCACTGCACTATTTTTAACCTAGACGCTGTTTTATTGTATTTGTCTTGTTCTATTTCTACCTCATGATGTACTTTCCAATACCCCGCTGACCAAGCAGCTCAAAACATTCATAAAGCCATTGAGAAGCCAGTCCACATTTCACCTCAGTGTGGTAGTGTGCCCCCCTCCCCCCACATCATCTGCACACTTTCACTGCCCCCTAGTGAGATCCCAGGGCTCTTATTATATATCTTATTTATGTATCCTGTTACTCAAGTGATGTTCACATCCTGGGAAGTCGTCAGCTCAAATATTTTCCCTCCTTTTGTGTTGCCTCAGATGAGTGATGACTGGAAAGTGTAGTTCTTGTACCATGATACTTGAATACTCACACTTTTGCATTCATATATTAAGATTCTATCCTAATACTATTTGTCTTGCAGCTCTTGGGCAGATTATGCTGTATGTGGATGGAATGAATGGACTCATATCTCACAATGAAACAGTTCAGTGGCTCTACTCCCTGGTCGGATCAAAGGTAAATACATTTTAACTATAATCCTAAATTGTTTGTAGGTTGATGCTATTAAGTGTTAATTAGCTTGTAGTCACATTGGTCACCTCAGCCCTCTAGTGGTCAGACTGTGGTTCTGCCTACTAGTAAATCAGTAAGAAATTCAGTGGCATTGTATGTTAAATCACTGATGAACATTTATAAACAAATGATATTTCATGTTGAGACTATAATAATTTATCCTTTTGGTGAATATATTCTGGGTTAGTGCAAGGACAGTTTGTTAATCAGGATGAACAAATAATGTAAATCAATAAAGTTTTAACTCTAAAGCCAAATGCATACTTACTTTGGGTGTTTATACAGACTCTTACCCCACCTACAAACAGATAACCTATTTGAAAATCATAGAATAGGCTGTTGATAAAAATAATTTATTACACAGCAAAAACAATTCTTATATTTAAATAATGTTCTTGTGTAGTTCCGCCTGGTGGTGAAGACTGCTCTGAAACTGCTGCTAGTGTTTGTGGAATACACCGAGTCCAATGCCACTCTGCTCATTCAGGCTGTGAACACTGTCGATGCCAAAAGAGGTAAAGTAGTAAAAGTAGTCATAGTTCTTCTAGCGGTATATTTTTGGTAGTAACTAGTAAGGCTGCATTCACACATGCACACGCATCAAAATTAGGACTGAATTGAAACTAAACCCACAACTAAACCTAGACTAGACCAAGTATAAACCAAGATTCTACATCCAAAATAAACCAGGAGCAACCCAGGAACCCAATGGAAACACAGCAAGAGAAGTAACAGATTGTAGATATTATTAGTATACAGTAGTAGGGATGTAACGATATCCAACTCACTCGGTACGATATTATCACGATATGCATCTCACGGTACGATATTTATTGTGATATTTTGGAGAGGCTAATATAATTGTAGATAGGGCACTTTTTTGTTTTTAAAATACTTTGGCAAGTTTTTGGTGTGAATTATTTTCATTATAACCCCAGGAATATAAGTAAAAAACATATCTTTTCATGTTGTTTTCAATGAAATGAATCATGGGATGTGTAGTTTCCAATGTTCATAAGCTGTTGCTACTATAAAACCATGCATTTATGCAAAGGAACTTGCAGTTCAATTTATTGTGACAGTCCACGATATTATTGTGAGACTTTTGATGATACAATGTCACAATATTTCAGTTATTGTCCCCCTAGTATAATAATACTGTGTGTAAGGCTGCATCAAGTTAATCAATTATTCACAAAATGATCAATTATAGAAGTAGCTGTCAACAATTTTAGTCAAAAAGCAATGGTTAACCAGTTTATATGTAGGCTCCAAACATGTCATGAGCAGAGAGAAGAGGTTTCATGACTTAAACAGATCAGAAATTACATTCAAATGAGAAATAAAATATGATAATTTTGTGTTTTGGTGAGAACACTCTCTTGTATGTAAATATGTTCCACCAGGATGTCCTCAAGCGGCTTCACTTCAGCTTTGAGATCTAAACAACTAATTGATTAATTGAAAGAATAAACACTTTTATTACCAAAATAATCTTTAGTTGCAGCCCTAACTTTGTGCTTTATCCAATAGTAATCCCCTATTTTGCAATGAAATACAATACAATATAATCTTCTTACTACTAGATATTCAGCGATTCCAGTGTTCAAATTACTATCTACTGTCTCCTTTTTCACTACTCAGATTAAATGTCCCGTGCAACTGAAGCACACTGCATGACTTTCTCAGTTACCCATGTCGCTACCTGCTCCACATTGTGCACGTTGGCAGTACTGGGGGTCCTGTATTGTTAGTGGGGTCTGGTATCCCTCATCATCATCATCCCTTCTTCTGTTGCATAAGTAAACCTGATCCACTGTCTCCCGGATTGAAGGAAATGGACTTGACCCTGCCTTCTTCTTATTGGAGATCAAGTCTCCTCAGTTTTTTCCACCACTTTTTTTCCAGTGAAAGTGAAAGAGAGCGTCTGGAGCTCTGAGATGACTTAGCAAGCTGGAAAACTGGGTAATGCTATTAGCCTGTTATAATGTGAGTGTCTTGTGCCGCCATAGGAACAAAGTTTTGGTCAAATATAATGGAGATCTTAGATGAGAAGGATGGAGTAGATACGGAACTGCTGGTCTACGCCATGACACTAATCAATAAGGTCGGTATACAAATGCTATTTTATATATTTATATTTTATAAAAGGTATTTATTCTAACAATTGTATTTTCTGTGCTGTGCTATTCAATACTTATTTTACAGAAGTTAATCAATAAGTGGAGATTTAATTCTGTAAATTGTTAGTAAAAGAAAAAAATATATACATAATACTTATATTTGAATGTTTGTCTGAATTTTATGTTTTATCAAGTGTAAAGAATGCTATTCCTATTTTATTAAATAAATGACACATTTCATTGAACAATGAAATTTGAGATGCACCTTCTTGTATTATTAAAAAAAATGAATACATGTTCAGAAATAGTTCTTATATTATATTATATATGTTATAAGCTTAATAATCAGAGTTTCTGTGTTTGACAGACCCTTGCCGGGCTCCCAGACCAGGATTCGTATTATGACGTGGTGGACAGTCTGGAGGAGCAGGGCCTGGAGGCTCTGGCCCAGAGACACCTGAGCAGAAAGGGCACAGACCTCGACCTGGTGGAGCAGTTCAACATTTATGAGGTACACAGATATGTTCTGTTTGGGCTTCTATTTGAACAAGTGACAAAAACAGATAGCACTTTACAGTACAGTAATAGGATGGTAGTTATGGTAATAGCATAATAAGTGTAAACTGTAAAATTGTAATAACACATGGAATTAGCATTCATTCTACATTTTATCATCGTAATAAGAGTCATCAAGACTGCAAATTACCAGGAAACCTTTCTTGGTAGTTTATGGAAACAGTGCTGCAAAATGCATTTATCTCTTGGTATCCCAGCTGCTTTGCTATTTCAACTCTGTAATCATGTATGCCACTGTGCTGTAAAGTAAGTTTTGACCCATCTTTATTTCAACCCCAAAATATAAAAAACACATCACTAATAAAAAGACAGAAACTGCTCCCTCTCCAATTATATTTCCGTAACTCATTGTTTCCTATGTTTGTTTACCAGATGGTCCTAAGACATGAGGACGGTGACGAGGAGACCCAGTTACCTCCGAGTGGGCGTAAGGACCGCAGACGGGCCAGTGTAGGGTGCACCTCAGAGGGGCGGGGCTTAGAGCGGAGACGCAGCCGCAGACATTCACTCCAAAACAACAGAGGACACGTCTCTGCCCCAGCATCGCCCTGCAGTCCCTATACACACGGGACCGGCTTCTTGTCTTTTGGAGGTCCCAGGGTGGAGGACATCAGTGAGAGGTGAGGGGATTGGAGATGACTTTGAGTGATTTAAACTCTTGTGAAAACATCAGTCATTATCTTGAGGTCTGTAGAGTAGTACTTGATTTCACAGGAAAATCGTCTGAATGACACATTCATAACAAAGTATATTGCTGAAAATAATTAATCCAAAACTGAAATAACAATATAATGTTTAAAGCTTAGTCAAGACATTGTTTACACAGATTAACATAGGGATTAGCCTACATGTAATCAATAGCATCATGGACTTTTATAATGTCCAAAGTTAAACTTTAAACCTCATCACAATTAATAACTTCACAAAATAACTAATTTATCAACCCATTACATAATCTTCTAACAAGTGAGGCAAGAGTGAAAAGTAATTAATTAAGTAAGTAACTAGAAATAATGACTCTAATAATTTGTGTATTATATTTGACCTTATATTTATATATTTGAGTGTAAGTGTGTGTGAGAGAGAGAGAGGTAATTAAATATAATAATATAATTTCAAAGCTGGGCTTGTTCATCTTTTATTTTTTCCTGCTATCAGTGTTTGTTTTTGTGCATTTCTTACCAATGTAGTAGCACACCAACCAGTAAAGTTGATCAAACCCATCTGGTCATCTGAAACCAGAGTAGGTTGTTCCGGTTCACTACAAGAATTTACAGCCGCTTTGAAGGTCACTAGTCTTTCTACTGTTAATTGAATCCAGAGAAGTTACAAAAGTGATCAAAACAGTGCAACATACACACAGTGGACCTCTTACATTTTAGTCCTAGCTGTCATTTTGGTGATGAAATTGTAATCCATTTTATGTTTAAACATCTTTGTCCATTAACAGTCACCTTTTCTAAGGCATGGTTGTCTATCTACTAACTCTGTTTTCAAGCCTTCTGCATGTTTAAGTGTCCATGTCTTTCCATTGTCTGCTCTGTGTTCATGTTGTTTGTCTTAATTTCTGTTCACTACCGCTGATCCTCTACCCCTCCTCTCAATCCCAGAGAGGAGGAGGAGGAAGAGGATGATGATGAGGAGGAGGAGGAGGATGATGATGATGAGGAGGAGGAGGAGGAGGAGGAGGAGGATGCAGATGCTGAAAGTCATCCAGTCATTGAGTCCAGTAGTCAGGGTGAACACAGGTATTTTGGGTCAATTGTGTTCCCTGATACTGTAGTATTCCATTATAGTCTTCCGTAATTGCATTGTCATTTATTTCAAAGGTTTCCCATAATGCAGTGCTGTTTCTTTTTAATGAAGGTTTGCATCAAGTTTAATGTTGAAGATAGTGATAATTAAAACAAGTAATTGCCAATATAACCATGTAGTAGTATAACCATGTTCTTTGAGTTAAATTGCACTCAGTAAGTCGAATTAGTTTATTTTTATTTCATTACATTAATATTGAAATATTAGCATGTTGGACATCTAATTGAATATTAATAAAGCAGTATGGAAGCCTTTAAATAAATCAGAAGCTCATTTACCACTGGAAAACAGTTCATTCTCCCGGTTAGTCCTCCTTGTCTCTTGTACTTTGTCCTGCAGTGTGGCTGCAGCTAGCATGTGTCTGAGCTTTAAGTGTATGGCCCAAGCCGTGCCCAGGCAGAGTGTCCCTGAAGTCCAGAGCAGGACCTCCACTCCTGTGTCCGCCGCTCCTAAACAGAGGAACTATAGCCTTTGGTGTGTGCCCTCAAAACATCTTTACTTTTTGCTGCACAGCTTTGCACACCATGAAATAATATTGTCAATCAACCATCTTAATTTCATCCCACCAAATGGCATATGATTGAAAAATATCAAAACAGCTGTTGCCACATATTTGGTTATAGTTGGTAAAAGCTTAAAATACAAATAAAACAATAAATTTATTTTTTCCCCTAATTCAGTGGTTATTACAGAGTTGCGTGGTCTTGCTGCCCTCCTACCCTCCACTATCTTTATCTGTGTGACTAACTCATTATTATACTTTTATCTTTGGGGTGCTGGGTCTGTTTTTCTAACTGTGCTTTTCATCTTCAGTGTGACAGAAACATCTCACGCAAACAGCTCTAGTACACCTTTAACACCTAGAAAGCCCTGCTGGGCCGAAAGGTAAGGATAGATCTTAATGCATGGACACAACTCACATAAGGATGAAATCATTACTAAAATCTTCTTTTTGTCTGCATTTATGTCATAACAATGGATGGATGCGGATTTTATGTGCTTATTTATTTTATCCATGGACCTTTTGAAAAAAAAAAAAAAAAGATTAAAAAATAAATAAAAATCCAGAATTCCCATCCACAGTTCAGCTCCATTTTGTTAATCTAAAAATGTAGTATTTTCTCTTTGGGGTCACTGTAGTCTATAATTTTATTGTTTAGTTCTTTGTATATTCATTGTATGCCGGATCACAATACATTATCCATTTATCTGAGTTTGGGACCAGCACAAATGTAACTCCTGATTGTATGTGTTTGGTTGTATTTGTTCTTAAAATGCATCTGCGCTGTGAGCTTTACATGGATATTATACTGAAGATTGCTTTTCTGGCGTGCTCTTCCTCATCCAGCATTGGAATTCCCATAGCAAATTCCTTCAGTTGATATCATTAACATATGGAAGCACCTGTTTTTTATGTCTTCATTGGATTTCATTGGATCGATCATGTGCTATAATGTATTTGTCTCATTGAAGGATAAATAACAGCAAACAGCAGACTCCCCCTTCACCCGTTCACCGCCTCGCCAGTGCATCCTCCTCCTCTACAGACTCCAAAGCAGACAGGTCAGTGTTCAAAGTCCTTTTATAGCTTGACATACCATACATAGTTTATTGTTTATAATGAAATCTTATGTAAAGGACTCCTACATCAAATACATCACATATGTATATCAAACACAGACCTATTACTTCTAGTTACTTTTGCTGTCATATATTCCTGTGTGTTTGGCATGCAGAGCGGCTCTAGGAGGGTTGCTTACTTCATCGTACAGACAGCACCAGGAGTCTTTGGCCGCGGAGAGAGAGAAGAGGCGCCAAGAACGAGAAGAGCGTCTGTTGAAGATTGAGAGGGAAGAAAGAAATCGCTTCAAGTGAGTTTTGCTTTACAAATCCCTGAAACCCAAATAAAGTATTTTTATTCAAAAACAGTCATAGCTTTTTATAGTTTGCCTTATTTGAACTGTTTTATATGTAATAGCATGTGAAGAAATAAACAAAGCTTACTGGTTGTATTTTGTGTTGCAGCCGAGATTATGTGGACAAGAGGGAAGAGGCCAGACAAGCCAGAGAGGAGAGGTGGGTTCAGAATGACCTGAAGTTCTGGTTTAAAAAAACAAAACCAAAATCATTTTAAAGGTGTGAAAATATGTAGATGAAAAACTTGGGAGCTGTGAAAATGCTTTTAGCTCCATTTTGTAATTGGTTGCAGATGTAAAATGTGCTGCACCCCCCTTAGACCAAATCACAGAGGACAGACTGCCTCCTCACAGCCCAGAGGTTAACAAGACAAGTGTTTAATAGTGATTTGGACGGATTGTATTGGTGAATTTCTCCTCATGAAATGTTTTGAAATGTGTTTTCTGAAACTATTCCTTCATGCTTCCCACAGTAACTCATTAGCAGAAAATGTAGACAAATCATCCAACTGAAAAATCGTATGCTCCCTGTGCCAGATGTTGCAGAGAGGTTTTGTTTTTCCATTCGGTGAGCAAAGCCTCTGCCAATATCAGAGCATGAATGGTGACAACAGAACCTTATTCATCTAATACTGGAAGAATGTTCTTCAGCAGAACTTTCAAATGCCATTTGTTATTGAGGCAAAAGCAGACTATCGAGACAAATGTAAACATGTACATCTTCCAATAGGTACAAGGCTGTAGAGCGACTGGCTGCAGAGGAGTTTGAGCGAGAGCACCCTCGGGTGCCCTTCAGAGGGCGAACAGAGATCACTTTGTGTTTAAGTCCCAGATCAGGCAGCCGCTCAGCGTCGCGCAGTACCACCCCATCCATCATCTCACAAGAAGACACAGCCACTACAGCCTGCACCAAGCCAGGTAAATCCTATATTACAACCTTCAATTTAAAAACAAAACAAAAACATCTGCGGTTTGAGATATTAGTCTCTGTTTTTTGTTTATCCAAGTTTTGCATGAAATGTAGAAGAAGCCAAAAGGACATAATCAATTAAAATAAACATGAGTGATTACTTCAAATGATTTCCTTGCTTTTACTTCCATCAGTCATACAGGAAGTAATTTAAAGCTGTTTTACTTAAACAATCTGTTTCTGCTGGATCTGATCATGTGCATGTGTTGAAATAGTGCCGTACAAAGAGTGTTCCTGTGAACTTTGTTTTGATTTCTCCTGCAGACCTGGAGCACAGCTCAGAGCCCAGTCTGGACCTACAGACCAGAACCACGAGTCCAGATTTAAGAGTAACACAGAGCTCCCCCACAGCTCGGCACAAAGACACATGGGAAAGAGAAAGTATCAAAGAGAGTACCCAAGGGAGTACCCGAAAGAGTAACCAAGAGAGGGGTGACTTTGAGAGACAGTGTGACCAGGGCCCCACTGCAGAGCCCTCATCCAGAGAAGAGACAAGTGAGGAGGCATGTGAGGAGCCAAAGTCAGAGGAGCAGCTCCAGACTGTGGAGGAGCTGGAGGGAGGAGTGCAGGTCGCTGAGGTGGCGGAGACAGATGTGGACGTGGAGTTGGATGAGTGTGAGAAAGAGCAGCAGATGGAGAGAGACGAGGAGGACAGTGTGCTCCTGAGTGAGAAGGAACGACAGAATGAGGAAGTGAATGAAAAGGATAACTGTTCAGCATCCAGCATCTCTTCCACCAGCAGCACCCTGGAGAGAGAGGAGCGCGAGGACAGGCTGAGTCGAGACATCCAAACAGGTATTACATTCAGTCACATAATACACTATTCATGTTAAAGTGATCTATATTCTACACATTTACAATCCCTGTTCTCATCGTTACAGGTCAGCTAATTCAGTGTGATGAAGATATTCAAGATGTGAATGGGAACTGTGACAAAATCCTCAGTAATAAACGCTTCATGCTGGACATGCTTTATTCCCAAACAACAGACAACAACAATGAAGACAGCCCTGAGACGACTGAGACAGAGAGTAGTAAGTGTGAGAAAGGTGTAGAGACAAGTGTGCCTGCTGTGGGCAGCCTGGTGAGCAGGATCTCCACGTTGGAGGCCCAGAGACAGGCCCGAGAGGAGGCTGTGAAAAAGGGGGATGTGGGGCATCGGGACCATGGTTCAGTCCGAGCTGTGGCAGAGAAGTTTGGAGATCTGGTCAAAGGACTGGGCTGTCCGTCAGAGGTGGAGAGCCTAAAAGAACAGCAGCAGACTCAGGAGAAAGTGACCAGTGTCCCTGCAGCATTACCCCCTAAGAAAGAGTCAGACCACATCTGGGACCAGCTGCTTGCCACACCCCGAGAGCTGCGCATCAAAGAGATGGACTTCACAGATCTGGGGGATGAAGACGACATGGACATTTTAGACATGGACAATCTGATGAGATCAGGTGACTCTATACCTGCTCCTCCTCCTCTGCACCACGCTGCACTGCCCCCTCCTCCTCCTCTGTTTGGGTGTCCCCCTCCTCCTCCCATCTTTGGTAAAATGATGCCCCCACCTCCTCCATTTATGGCTCCCATGCCCCCACCTTCGCCCCAGCTCTGCCGAGGGGATGTTCCTGTGTTCCAAAAGAAGAAGAAGACTATTCGTCTTTTCTGGAACGAAGTCCGGCCTGTGGACTGGCAGAGCAAGAGCCATAAATTTTGTAAGGACTCACTCTGGTCCAAACTAGAGCCCATCAAACTGGACACATCCAAATTGGAGCAGCTGTTTGAGTCTAAGTCCAAGGAGCTGCCTGTCACTAAAGTAAGCTCTCACCAACATCCCAGTTGTTTATTTATTTTCCATAATTAGTGATTTGTCATCAGAAAGTCATATCCAAATTTGCACCCTTTTCATCAATGACCTCATATTTTTCCCAAGGAATGTTGTTTTTAGGATGAACATAATACAACTCAAGCTCTGTTTTTAAATTATATTATTGATCATTTGTTTTTGATTTTTTAACTTTTTTTTTTTTATAGAAAGCTACAGTTGATGGAAAACGACAAGAAATCATTGTTCTAGACTCCAAACGAAGTAATGCAATAAACATCGGATTGACAGTTTTACCTCCCCCTCGCACAATCAAAACTGCTATCCTCAACTTTGATGAATACGCTCTTAACAAAGAAGGCATTGAGGTACGCATTTTAATCTTGATTCATCGTAATACCATCTAAATATACTTGAGCCAGCACTAAAAATATCACATAACATTTACAGATTTGTCTGATCTGGAGGGAATTATAGAAAATCTGTCTTGTTTCTTTACATTGGCCGTCTAACTGATTTGAAATAATGAGAAGCAGTTGTGAATTTCCTTTACTACTTAATGCACATACCCTGCACAGTAGTGATTCATGTTGCATCTTACATGTTATATAACGTGTTTTGTGATGGCAGTTGTGAGAAACTTTCTCACCTTAAGTCTATGAGCCCATCTGCTCACGAAATCTAATGTGAGGTTAGGAGTTCACCTGTCACACAGGTTTGTGGAAGACTGCAACATTTGAGATAAACACAGCTGTAAACTTATTTCCTGCGACATATTACATAAAATAAATTCTTGACATTTGTAGTTGACAGAACACTCCCACAAGTGTTTCCTTTCTTCTTCTTTGTACTTCATGTAGAAAATCCTGACCATGATCCCAACGGAGGAGGAGAAGCAGAGGATCCAGGAGGCGCAGCTGATGAGCCCGGACGTTCCCCTGGGCAGTGCGGAGCAGTTCCTCCTGACCCTGTCCTCCATCACAGAACTGAGTGCACGGCTGCAGCTGTGGGCCTTCAAGATGGACTATGAGCTGATGGAGAAGGTCAGACACACAGAGCTGCTGTCTGTTTGAATGACATGGCCTGTGCTGCTTACATAAGACATAAGACATAATACATAATACATAAGACGGCCTCTGAGTAACCTGCAGCTACAGTCACATTTATATTGTGTTCTATGAGGGATTAGAGAGGTAGGCTCCTAATTGTTTTATTTCATTTTGCTTGAATGGCAAAGGAGCTGGACGAACTACTGCATGTGTACTTCCTGTAGGCAGACTATTCATAGTTAAATGGATGTGTTGTTAATATCTATTCATTTCAGGAAGTTGCCGAACCTCTTCAGGATCTCAAAGAAGGAATGGACCAGTTAGAGAAAAACAAGACTCTCCGTTACATTCTGACCACACTGCTCGCCATTGGCAACTTCCTGAATGGCACAAATGTGAGTGTATCTCTGGACATACAGTATAGGGCACTAATGGATAGCGTGAAGTACAAAAGTAACAGTTTTGTACTCAAGTGCAATTTTTCATTATCTGTACTGTACTTAAGTAGCCTACAGTTTCCAGTGGATATTTATTACTTCAGTACATCTGGAATATTATATTTTTAATAGATCTCAAAATCTGTGTGAAATTCTTTTCTATATCATCACCACCACCTCATTGTGTTGTGTATGAATGTGCTGCCTGTCTTTGTATTGTCAACCTCACAATGTCTCAGAACATTTTGTGGTTTCTCACTGAGCACACATGTTATTTAGTTCTATATGCTGTACACACAGGCATGGAGCTACATATGAAAAGGCAAACATGCACGGGAAAAGCATTAGTCATCAACATCAAAACAACTACTTCCCATAAGTAGTGTTTGCATTCGGGTTTCACGGTAAGCCATTTAAAACTGGCAAAGGAACAAGGGAGATTTTGTTAGGATTATATTTGCTGTGGTTTTTCGGCGCACAGTGGTAAGTAGAACAATCAGTCAGTGGGCTTTGAGAGTAGATTGTGGTTTTTGATAAATCCAGCTTAATAAATCCAGAAATCCACTCCACTCTGAAACCTTTTTTCTTGTATGCTGAAGAGGAAATGCTCCACAATTAGTGCAAGTTAGGTATTGGTTGTTTCCTGCCTTTCTCAGTGACTCATTGGGTGTACATATGCTTCTGTAGGCAAAAGGATTTGAGTTAAATTACCTGGAGAAAGTTCCGGAGGTGAAGGACACGGTTCACAAACAGTCACTGCTGCACCACGCCTGTGCCATCGTGGTCGAGAAGTTTCCGGACAGCACTGACCTCTACTCCGAGATAGGAGCCATCACACGCCTTACCAAGGTGAGCTTTAATTATGTTTTTATTTGGCATATCAGAATCATTCAAATTTTGCAATGAAAAAATAAACAACATTATTAGTTAGGTCAAGTTGCATATTGTCCCCTATTTTGCCATTATACATAAGAAAGAGGTGAATAGAAAAAAAGAATGCAATATCAAGTGACAATTAGCTGTAGAAAAGCTGAATTCTTTCTAATAATGAAGAAATTGTTTATTAAAGGTGCACTGCATAACATTTCTAGTGGAAGGTCCGCCACCAGTGTTGCTTTGCCTTGAATGTTCCACACACTTGTTCGACATGTTCACCCCTATTAACCCCCTAAGGAATTATTGTTTTTTGAGTACAGTAATAGGAACACCCATAATGAATAAATGCTAGATGGAAATGTTTAATATTATACCATGGAACATTTCAGGCAAGGCAATAATATCTTCATGGAGACAAGCAGCTAAAAAGTTGCACAGTGCACCTTTACGAATGATTCAGGCTTAGTAAATACTTAATACCCTCTTTAAGTAGTTACCACACCTGAATAATATATGAACTATTTGTTCTTTATCAATTAAATCTTTATTCACACTTTATTAAGACTAATTAAGTTGTAATTATTAAATAAGTATAACCATAAAAGCCACTCTACTTAACACTATGGTGCTTAAAGGAGTGGCACATTGTGCAGTGTTCATAGTGTTCTGCCTTATACAAGTATAAGATAAAGATCACTCAACATGAGGCAGGAGTTACAGATCATATACTGTACTGTGCATAAACTCACTGTACGCTGGTCATGACCTGTTGTCTCCACAGGTGGACTTTGATCAGTTACAAGACAATCTGGCTCAGATGGAGAGACGCTGCAAAGCATCGTGGGATCATCTGAAGGTCATCTCTAAACACGAGATGAAAGCAGCGCTGAAACAAAAAATGTCCGATTTCTTAAAAGACTGTGCAGAGAGAATCATTATCCTGAAGGTTGTACATCGAAGGATAATCAATAGGTATGACCATAATTATTGTATGACATAATAGGATGGTTGTATATGGTTGTTGTGTGGTTTTGATTAAAGAGGGCTGGCTTTGCTTTTCTACAGGTTCCATGCGTTCTTGCTTTTCTTGGGTCATCCCGTTTATGGCATCCGTGAGGTCAGCATCCACCGCTTTAGTAAAGTCCTGAGTGAATTTGCCCTGGAGTACCGCACCACGAGAGAGCGCGTCCTGCAGCAGAAACAGAAACGAGCCAATCACAGGGAGAGGAACAAGACCCGGGGGAAAATGATCACAGATGTAAGTGCTGTAGGCCACATGAATATCTCTTTCCTCATGCTCCATCTTAGTCCAGTTGTTGGGTTTCACATGACATCACATTCTATAGAGCTATCATTTTTAATACAGATGTGGAGCAATTTTTGGTTAAAATTCAGATTTTTGTTGAAATATAATGAGACTTGGGTCTGGTCACTAACAGAAATGATTCGGTTTGACATTCACCATCAAATTGTTGTTGACAATACAGTGTAATTAATAGGGAAAACTGGCACCTGCACCCCATCTGTGTTTTTGACACAATCAATTCCTAAAATTTGAAAACCATGTTGTCGTGACTTCATCACAGCTTGACTCCATATAGTTTAGGTGGAGGAGCCGGAGGACAGGTTAAAATTCTGCAGTGGAATTTGCTGTTTATCTGTCAGATTTGTTTACCTTATGGTTAATAATATCTGTAATTAGTGGGCCTGTCCACATGAAGCAAAAAACGCACAAAGTTCAATATCTTAAACAATAAATGAAACAATTTTTCACAACTGTTTCAGAAAGTAGTGCCATTATTATTCCAAGACATGATTGTTTTGAGTTGAAAGCGATAAAATTAATATGAGAAATTTCTGCAGTCAATTTCTAACAGATAATGATCAGGGTCAACATTTGTGGATCATAATTTGGGATATTTTACCATTAAAAATAGTAAATCTCCCATCGAGTACGATTGGCTCGTGCCTTTCATTTGAAATTATGACATCATCAAATTCTAAAACGAGAACGCAAACCTGTTTAATGTGAACCCTCCCCAGGCACAGCTCTGATCCTACTTTAAGCGCCTAGTGTCTTTGTTTTATGAAGAGCCGACATACATTCCTAATGACATCAACTACACTTCTTGGTATTCACATGTATAGGTTACTGTATCAACAAACAGCCAGTTGTTTTCAGTGTATCCTATTCTGTAGCTGTGGCAGGCTCAGAAAGGCCAGAGAAAACACTTGGATGCCTGATTAAAATCCTTTAAACCCAGAGGAGGCGGCTGCTCCAGACTGGACTTCACAGCAAGCCTTGGCGGGGGCCCCTCTCTCTTCAAAGGGACACTAATTCAATCACTGTGTGAAAATTCAAACCTCTCGACATATATGAGGGAGAATAACACGAACCACATCTGAGCGTTTAAACAAGACATTTGGTGAAAGTTTTGTTTCCACAGGCTACAGTATTCTTATGGATACAAAACAATATGAAATTAGTTTGGTTTGTAAATGTTAGCCACAAGAGTTGAACTACATGTGTTTGTATTGAAAGTTCATTTATGCTTTACCTCTTGTAGAGCGAGGATGATGACGATAGTGAGGTATGAAACAACTGAACAAACGCATGAAAGCCTGTCTAACATGTGTTGAAATGTTTTTAACAAAGAGTATTGTTGTTCTTGGTTGGTTAACTTATAGATCTCTGTGTGTAACCTACAGTGAATGAGGAAGTTAAATGTTTTTGACGGTGGAGCAGAAAAGTTGGGCGTGGAGTTGGAGTGTTGACTTGAAGGAGAGATACTTCCCCCTTAGGAATTACTAATACAACACATTTGTTTGAAAACTATTTTTGTACACAGATATGCAACTTCTGTATTTTGAACCGTGCTGTGGTGGAAAAACGAATCTGAAACCTAAGACCATCAAACCTTTATTGTGTCTGTGCATTGCAGAGTGGTAAATTTGGCAGTACCACGTCAGACCCCCAGGAGCACCAGCCTCAGGGCCTGGAGTTTGCAGAAAATGCAGCTGAACATGAGAACATGAAAGCAGTGCTGAGGAACGGCTCACAGGGAGGAGACAGCAGCACCAGCACTCTGCCAGGCCTTCGCTCTCGCACCAGGGCCAATGGTACCAGAGGTTAGATAACTTCAGAAATAGCCATAAATATTCACAAATAGATGAGTTCTTGGGACATTTTGAAGAATTAATCATTTAAAAAAGGTTAACAGTGACCGTCTACATCAGGGGTGCTCACACTTTTTTAGCATGCGAGCTACTTACAAAATGACCAAGTCATAAAGATCTACCTAATACAAAGCCAAGCAAACTGCACTGAAACACTTTGTGCCCCTTTTTTGGACCCTCACCCCTTCTTTAAGAGAACTTCCTCTGGCACTTTACACAAAACTGTAAAAAAAGTGAAGGAAGATTTTTAAACCTGCTTTTTAAAGTTCCAAACTGGAGTTGCATTCTTTTCTGGTTTTGCAGTGATATTACCATGCTCTGCATGTTTACCAAACCAAACGCACATCGTGACAAACACAGATGCATTTCTGCACTTTTGTTAGGCAAACTTCAGCCAAATGTGGCAGTAGGTCTGTTCTGTAGATCTGCTCTATGCTGTAGACCTGCTTTGTGCCAACACTGCAACACAAATTTTAGACTCGTTTTTGCTTCACGTTTGGTCTTGCTCTTCTAATCAGCTGCACTGTGGGAGGGGCTTGTGTTCGCTGTAAGCAGGAAGGAGCGAGAGCGTGAAAAGGCGAGGGGCGGCGTGCTGACGTGAGGCAGGTGGACAGGTAGGATGTTTAGGAAGTTTAACCTGCCCTGTGATGCACGCTGGTACACGAGGGCACACGCTGTTGCAGACGAGCCGTGCATAGGGAGCGTGTGTATTTGTGATGTGCCGTAGAGTCTCCGCGGGCTGCACTGAGCGCACAGGCTGCACTGAGACGCCCCACACTCTCTTGCACACCTGTACAAGTTTATTGCCAACAGCAGCGGCTGTAATGAAATATGATCACACTTGTTGAGTGTCAGACCTTAGTGAGAGACAAGACTGAGTTCAAATGCGAGTCCAAGACGAGACACGGCGATCTACCCACACGACCTTGGCGATCGACGTATTGAGCACCCCTGGTATACATCTTTTTGGTCCCCCATCCATTCCCACTGCATTGGAAAATGTCACAATTTTGTAATATATTTAACATTAACAAAGGTAGGTAGGAATTACAAGAACTGAGCCCATACAAAAATAAATAAATAAATAAAGTTAGAGGAAGGAGTAGTTTACTAACTGATGCTATGAGATGCTATGCCTGTAATGTTCCACAGTAAGGTATTAAACTTACCTATCTGCATGAAGACATAACAGATTAAATCACATTGCTCTGTGGAGAGGTGAGCTCACTCACAGTAAGAATGTTTTTCAAGGGATTTTTAAGCAATAGAAACCTCTTTAATCAATAAATGCAAGACAGATAAGTCCAATGCCATACTGCAGAACATCCCAGGCAAAGCAATAAGATCTCAAAAGACAAGCAGGTGTCACACGACCCACAGGAAATGGCTTTAAGTACTGTTTTATGATGAAAATATCTCTGTATATCTAGCCTCTTCTCTGTTACTATCTTTGAAATGCTCACCAGTTCTTGCACTTCTTTGTATATCTTGTAAAAAATAAAACTGACATTGACATAGGTCTTGCCACTTCTCATTGCACATGTACCACTGTCCTCTTAAACATGTGACTTTGTATTAGGGCGTGTCCCCCCTTGGTGTACCACTAATGATGACCCAGTGAACTGTGTGGATGACACTGCTGATGAGATTATGGAGAGAATAGTGAGGTCAGCCACACAGGGGCCGACCCACAGGACCCTGCCCCGAGAGAGGAGGCGCTCACGAGCCAATCGAAAGTCATGTGGGTTCAGACACACTTCACATTTTTGTATTTGTAACTATATGATAATGATATGTGATCTCATTTGTATTTCCCTACAGTGAGGAGGACACTGAGAGATGGTTTGACAACAGAGGAAGCCAATGCTCTTGGTTTATCAAGCTCAGAGCTGCAGGTGTGAGTAGGTCCTCACATGTGGGACTCCTCTGTTAGCACCACACGTTGTACACAGGTTTGAGTGGAGCGGGCCCAAGCATCGAACAGCAGGTCTCTTATCTCTGCATCATGTTTACGCTGCAGAACCGACAGACTCGACTCAGCTGATAAAAGGTCTTGACTTTGATGGGCACCAAAAACACAGCTGCCTTCTAAAGCACTAAGCTTTGCGATAGCTGGATAAGCATAATATCTGCACTCACGTAGCTCAGTCACAAGCATCCTGGAGAGAAAACACAAGTTTTTGTGTAGTTCAAAGGTCCTTGGCCTCATTTAATATTCAGATGACTGAATGGTTTGTATGGCTTCAGCAGCTTTGTATCTTCAGTAAAAGACATTGTTGGTATTGTATAGTTGATGGACTTGCATTTCTGATTTCCTTTTTACTACTGTAGGTTTTTGTTTTTGGAAAAAGGTGCTCAGAAAGTAAAATGTGCACTGGATATTAACAGTGGGTGTCAATGAGAGGACTCTACTTGATAAGTTTATCTTTTCACTAATAACCAGCGATCTTGGGTACAATGGTTACAATATGTAGATAAGGTTACTTGTTGTCTAGTAAAAGCAAAAACAAAACAACAAATGTAGTAAAATGTAACGCAGTTGAGATGTTTAAATCACCATCACACAAATCAACTGAGCACTATACAAAGGCTCTTGCAGTGATACAGCATCCAGCTACACACTTGGGAAAGCCTCTTATGAGCAGATATTTATTATGTTTTCAGGGAGAATTCATCTGGAGTCTGTGAGAGCATGTGTATTTGTCGCTGTATTGCATTTGGAGGATTTATCACGTCCTCTTATTGTTTACTACAGTAGCTTTATTTATAACAGTCTTCAACAAGCTTTTGCCTTACTATAACATTTGGATAAAGTGGTCCACAGTTCAAAGGTGTTGTGATTTTTAGAGGCATCATTGAACATTTAAAAAGACAAAAAGGGGGGTTGTCCTTTTCTTAACAAATGTAAAATCACTGTGACAGCAGCTCAGTACAAGTAAAGATGCAAATATTCAACCATTATCTGAATTGGTCAAGTAAAAATTGCAGTGGAAAAACTCATTTAAACTACATGAGCAATTACTATTCAGCACCTTAGCGTTTATGTGTAGCATGTCACATGTAGAACCAAAGTAGAACTGAAATCACTGAAGACAAACTGGTGTTTTGTGATAAGTGAAAAGGAGACTGCTTTAAAAATGATGTATGTGTAACTACAATGTTTTGTAATTTTCCTTTTTGGTCCACATGTAGAATAGTGTATATTACTAAAAAGCAGTATTATTTTAAATCTAATTTATGCAAACCAAGCCATGCACGGTTTAAAATGTGTTAATAAAAGCAATGCCACTTTGACTTTTGAGTAGGTCTGTGGAATGTCTCGAGTTTTATTTTATTACACAGCTCACAAATATTTTCACAATGACTTTTGAATGTGAATATGCTGACCACTAAAGCTGACAAATAAAGGTAAATGAAAGTTCGTATTGATTATGTATAATTTTGCTCTAAGTAAAAAAAAAAAAAACAGACCACAGTAAAAGTTAAGCCTCTTTATTTTTAGTCCATACAACCCATGCTTCAAGTCACTTGAGCAAATGGCGGCTGATGACAGGTTTCTCAGTTCAGCTCGTGTTGATGTGCGGCTGTCACAAAAACCTTGTGTTTGAAATTCCTATTTATCCACAGGTGTTATGGATCTAAGGGTGATTATGATTTGCTTGAATAAATCGCAGAGACATAATGAACAAGACAGCTACCTATAAAGGGCCCAAAAGTAGGAAATACAACTGAGCATTAAAAAAGCACACAAAAGAAAATCAGCTGAAACTGTCTCAGCAAATCCAGTGCAATCCAAGACATGTTCTGCTTTACACTAACTAAAACCAAGGGCAAGGGTTTCAAATATATTTTATCTCCTAATCATTTTTTCATCAGTTTCCCATCTACAATGTCCCTGAACAATTATGTTTGCACAGTACCTTAGAGGTGTAGAGATCATTATAAAACTGAAATTCCCTTTCCACCAGACATGATTGGATTTGGAAAACCCCTGAAAAGACTCACAGGCAGAAAGCTTTTTACATTTTATATTGCTACATTTCAACAAAGATTAACAAAGGGATTCTTTTTTTTTTTGCATATTTTCTTATATAGTTTTGGTTCATAGTGCATTTTGCTCTATGCATCTGGATGTCAAATTATATCCTGAAATAGCACCAAAAGGCAAACACTCTCACATCATTTAGTGAGCAAGTGTTTTTAAAGAAAGTTTTAAAAATAGAAAGTAGCAGGTGTGCAGTGCAGTCTAATTAGCCATAAAGTGATTAGATTGAGAAACGGCGAAGTAAACATCTAACTGTATAGTTTTACCAGACATATAAAGCTGATGATCCAAGATCAAGACAAGCTGCATTTGACAAAATGAGTGATTGACTTGTCACTGTTAGCATGGTTCTTTCATCTGCTGTAAACTGAGCTGCACATTCCTACAGATCACAGCTTATGTTTGGTTAAAATCTAGTTTTACATTACAAAGTAGAGACTGCTTTTTCATGCATATTTACTTATCTGGTTAAGTTGAGCTTTAAAAATAGGTTTTGTAGTTCCGTCACAATAACCGAAACTCAATTTTGACGCATCTAAAAATGTTTATAAAAAAGTAATTCCAAATTTCTGCTCATTTGAAGGAAATTTGTTACGTTGTTTTTAAAAAATACTTTTGTAAGCATAGTTGCGCGTAAGGTTATAGCACCAGATTGTAGATTATGCCAAGCCTTGGGTTTGATCTGAAGAGCAAATCTGTGATGCACTACAAAAGTGTAACCCAGACAGCAGTGAGACACACTGACAAATGTTCAAAGAACTTAAAGTGCCACTCCAGTCCCACTCCAGCCTCCCAGACTTCAGCCATCTAAACCTAACCACAGTAAGCCTCTGTTTCAACCTAAGACAACTGATGGGGAGCTTCAAGCATTTCCATTAGGAAAGTGTCGATAGGTGTGTCGCCAATCAGCTTGAAGAAGAAAAGATGCTCCAAGCACTTCAAGCCAATGGAGCGCAGTGCAGGCAGTCGAAGAAGTAGCTTAGCAAACCTGCAAAAAAACAAACAGAAAAACAAAATAATGAAACAGCCAGCCATTTGGCCTGAGCACAGGTGCCATATGTAGGGCATTCACCTTCCCTGCTGCTCTGGATACTTCTGTTTGCAATAGGCCTCCAATGATGCATAGACCTTTTCCCTAAGGAGCTCCACCTCGCTGGTGTTGGTAAGTCCTTTAGCATCTGCACAAAAGAAATAAAGATTTTAAGGCTTAATTCACATTTTTATACTATGAAAATATAACACATTATTAGTCTGAATATCATTACCTGGGTTGAAAAGAACAATTGCTCTGAGGCAGCCTAGCTCCGTCTTATCCATTTGCATATCTCTCATTTTATTGACAAGCTCAGTGAGAACCCTGGTTTATAACAAAGCATCAGCAGAATGTTCAGCTAAATCAACAATATCTAGCTAAAAGACTGGAGAAATGGAGAAATATACCTGTCAAATATGGCACCAACTTCAGCACTCTGCACACTCTCCCTATAGTGAAAATCTGAATTAGATAAACTAGAACAACATTTACATTGGTTTGAATAAAAGGTCTAATTTACCTGTCAAAAATGGCTCCAACTCCACCACTCTGTGCACTGTCACGCTGCAGCTCAGAGGTCAGAACAACTCCATCTTTAAGAGCAATGGACCGGTGGGAAAATGAGGCGATCAGGAGCTCATTCCACCCTGAAATTACACACACACATTACAAATTTGTGATATAGGTAATGTGCTATGGCTTGCGTGTCATTTTGCCAAAATGCACCTAAACCTTTGTATATCACTGAACCAAAAGGTGTGTACGGAAACTAATGTGACACTACTGCCTGTGGAATGTTTTTTATACCTGCACGAAGGAGAATGACCTGGTCATCAAGGGGCAGCTCAGAGAAATGGGGGATTCTTTTTGCCCACTCCACCAGGGCATACAGCTGTTTGTCTGCTGTCTGGCAGATGTTGGTCACAGCATCATGGGGCTACAGACAGACAAAGTTGCAGTTATCATAATCATCAGATACTCACCCAAACCAAACACCATAAAAACTTACAGAGGAGCCTGCATCAGAGTGAAGCTCTGTCTTGTGCTCCACTGCTGTCTCTGCCTCCAGGATTTTCTCCACGGGCATTTCCTCATTCACAGACATACTGAACTCAAACTCTCCCTCACGTTCACGGTTCCTCTGGCGCTCCTCCTGGACCGCTGCGGTCACAGCAGTTCAAACCAAAAAGACGAATTAAATAATAGAATAGGATAGATAGAGGAATGGATATCGTGATTTAAACAGTATGCCTGTGTATTGTACAAGAAAATGCAGAATAATGGTCTTATACCTTCCCTCTTCATGCCCATGGCAAGGCACTTCTGGTAGCGGCAGTACTGGCATCGGTTCCGCTGGCGTTTATCTACCAGGCACTCTTTGTTATCCCTGCAAGTGTAACTCAGATCTTTGCGCACAGTCCGCTTGAAAAATCCTTTACAGCCTTCACAGCTGTATACACCATAGTGCTTGCCTGAAAATAAACAACAAGAAAAATTTTAACATGTCAGTTTTTAAGACTCTAGGTTCTTTTGGAAGTATGCAATAACTGACCAGAGGAGCGGTCTCCACAGATAACACAAAGGCGTTTCTGGGACATCATGATCCCAGGACTGTGAGGTGGTCCAGGACGCAGGCCAAAAGGAGGCTTCACATCCTCCGAGCTGCTGATGGAGTGCATCCCTGATGCAGAAGCTGAAGAACCCAGCTACAAAAACAATACTTATTCAGAACCTCAATATTTAAGATCAAACAACATCAGTCATAAAAATGACAATACATCTGCAAAATAATAATAAATAGGAAAAAAGAAATAAAATAATTTACCTGATAGTTGCTAATAGGTCCGAATCCTAAAGAGGGTGATACCAGGGGTGAATTCAGAGCGGGACTTATGACTGAGAAAGGAGAACCCAGGAGGTTGGTGGGGCTGTTGGACCCTGAGCTGTTCTGCTGTGAGGACATGGTGAGGACACTACCAGAGGAGAGCAAGGGCCCGTCTGAAGGTTCTCAACTGGAAAGAAAAAGGAAGCATTTGGGGCATTACTGCATTTTGTTTTATTAGGGAAAACACTATAGACTAAGGCAATTACTTTGCAACAATGACATGATTAACAGATGCCTTGACTGAACACAGATAGCACTTGGTGTGGTACAACAAGTAACTTGAGGGTTAGCGGAAGTTTCAAGCTTAATCCAATTAGTGTTAATAAATTAATTCCTAGTCCACCACTTTCACAACAACAAAAGAAAACATGGTAGCGTTATTAGGACTTGACACCGAATAGATCAGTCATGGAGATCTTTTTTTTCTTAATCCTAACTAAATGCACACTTGAACCAACATGATGGCACGGTGAAAACACGCTCCGGATGAGGGGGTAAATAACGCTAGTTTTGATTAAATCCGGAGCTACGTGAATCAAACCTTAACATGCTCTTTCAAGAAATCAAACATATGACCGATCCCTGATTTAAGTGAGCAGACAATCGTCCATGTAGCAAAAGTATGTCTAATAACACTAACAGAAAATGTGATCCGAGCAAACTCGGATGGCGTTTGGCTACAGTAGCTTTCAAGTGTTAGCTTGGTACCAGCCATTTGGCTTTGATGTAATACGACTAGTATACGACAGCAATTAGATTTAAGGCTTCGTGTTAAACAGCCAAGTGTGTAAAGTGGTCGCATGTCAAAGCATAAGGCCGCGTATTAATTCCAGATGCATTAGAAATCGCTTTATTTATCGGTGCAAATCGCCTGTTAGCTGCATTTGTTCACGGAGCTAATTTGGCTAGCGTTTAAATGTGGCTAACGCTAGCTAACAAGGTCGATCAGCTAAGGTCGGTCGTTTTAATGCGCTTTCGTGGCTAAATAGTTTAAAAGTCCTTAAAACGATGTTATAACTTACCAACAAATCATTCGACACATTTTAATCTCGGTTGTTTCCGTTTAGACCGAGCCTCAGACGGCTAGCGCTCACAGCCAGTCTGCTTCACTGAGGGCTGTTGTTGTTTACAGGCCATGATGGCTCTGTGCCAGTGCCTGAGCCAAAATGTCTGAGGGACCACCCCATTACAGCCCAGTCACATGACACATCAAATCTAAATCATACTCTGCTTTCATCGCGCTTTTCATGCACGCTCTCATAACTATATAGAGATATCGATTTTTCATAATTGGCTATATGGCAATGGACCATTTTATTCATGAATTATGTTTGTAGCTTGTACAAAGAGTATTTTCAAATATAATTTCATTCATATTAAATTGTATTCATTATCAAAGACATAGCCTATTCGGTTCAGTAGAAGTAGCCTAAGTCTTGATAAAAGTGACATTGCTAGTTTAACATGTTGAAATTGTAGTTTTTTGTGAGTCCACACCAACAGGATTTAACTTGGAAAACAGGTGCCAAATACAGCTTTACAAATAAATGAGAATTCATTTGAATTGTCCTGGTCATTGTGTTAATTTAGTTTGAAATATACTTAAACATAGGACTTCATTACATACACAGGCCTGTACCATTTTCTTCTCCTGCTTTATGATAATGAATCATCCATGGTTAGCTGTAGTGTATTTATGTATTTTTGTTAGTATCATTTTGCAATTTTACAATTTTGGTGTAAACTATAATCAGCAAAGCAATGCCCCCAATTGTACTTTTGCAAACAGTTTAATCAAAGGTGGGTAGAGTAGCCAAAAACTATATTTGAGTAAGAGTACTGTTACTTCAAAGCAGTATTACTCAAGTAGCAGTACAAGTAGTGGTCAAAGAAATTACTCAAGTAAGAGTAAAGAGGTTTTTGTGGAAACCGTAAGAGTAATTATTTGTCTGGACATAGCATCTGATTTATAACTGGAAGATTAAGATCAAAAGATAAACACAAAAATGAAAAGAGCTAGATCATATCTGATGGAGCGCTGCAAGAAACACAAATGTTCAAATGATTTAACATTGTCAACCTAAAGCTTTTGTCACTTGTGGACTTATAGTTGGAAGAGTAAAAACTTTTGCTCAAGTAAAAAGTGGAAAGTGGAAAAATGTTACACAGCATCTGAAGCAAACTGTGGATGATGTAAGCAAAGTTCTACAAGTAATGACTTTCAGAATTGTTAGATGTGTTTTGTGATTATTGATTAAAGTATTTTGCTTGTTAAATTAAACTTAAAACAGTATAGGCTTAGGTGGTCACTGCAATGTAGTAGTGTTATAAAGAGAGGATCTTCCAAGTAGCAGTGGGCAACAGGCTTGTCTGTCTCACCACAATGATTCAACAGGACTGAGATTGAAGCCTAAAGAAGCTGTTGAGTCACCTCTGTGGTACAGGGGGTGGCCCCCACAACAGGAGGGTCACAGTGATATGAGGAAGAGTCAGATCCCAACTGTGACCCTGTCTAATGGAAGCATTTAAGTGAAGAAAAAGCTTGTTGTCAAATGTCACGTTATTCTTACAGTAACTCAACTGATTGAGTAAGTGGTGGTGAAGGGCAAGGACCAAGTGTGTGCATTTATTATGGCTGGGGATGGAAGGGGCCAAAGACCAGGTTTGCCTCACATCCTCTTGCTTCCTTGTCAGAAGAGTGCAAGATGAAACATCCTTGTCAGAAGAGTGCAAGAGGACTGTGAAACAATAGATTGATGGGCAGATATAGATACTTTATTTATCCCGAAGGAAATTCAAAACAATCACAGTGCTACAAACAGAAGTGATTACTGATTACTGGTTAATACAAAACTGATTAAGATACAAATTGGAGATTAGATTATGTGTTAGAGCAAGATCCCTATGTTCACAAATAACATAAACTAAATAAATTAGGCCATCATGCAGACTGACAGGAAATGAGAGAACTGCATGACTGTTTAGCTCTGTTTATTAATTTCTGTTTAATCATGTAAATTATATAGAGTGTTGATGCTTGCTCTTGGTTTTAAAATTTAACATCATAAGTTTTTTTCTCCCTATTTGTTTTTAGTGTTCTGAAAACTGTGTCAATTAAATTAAGAAATTAAAATCAATTTTAAAAATCATTAGTGTCACAACTCAACAAGAAAAGGAACCAAATGCAGGACAAATAGAAGGTTTAACAATGATTACAGGAATTGTGAGATTTTGCAGGGACTGGAGGCAGGTCTGGGATAAACAGGGTTGAAATGGCTGGAGCTGGGGGTGGAGCAGGAGCAGGACCAAAGAGGCTGGCAGAAGAGCTGAAGAAGAGAACAGACGGCAGGTAAGTAAAAATACCAAAAAAAAAAAAAAAAAAAAAAAAAACACTTGGCAAAGCTTCAAAAAATATCAGAGCAAATGTGCACCATGTAGGTTAACTGACCATGTGGCAGAGATGTTGTAGAGAGCTCAGGCCGGTGTGCAGGTCAGCCCCAGGAGCAGGAGTAGGAGCTACGGTCATGCCCAGCCAGTCCCAAATAAGGCAGGTAAGTGAAAAGTTAAGTGTGGAGGGAGGGATAACAGGGGTGAAACAGAAAATCTGGAGTGTACTGTGGCAATTAGTTTTGTAGTCAGTGGTTTTATCGGGCTTTAAAATACAAAACCAATTACACAAAGGTACAAACAATACACACAAAACATCATGGTCAAATACCTTCAATAAAGAACAAATAGGAAAGGTTTAAATGTGATGTTACAAGTAGAGAACAAGCAATAATACATTTCAGTGGTCAGGTAGGTTGTAAGCATAGTTGTCGTAGTACTTGAGAATATTGGTCTTGACACCGGCCTCGAGACTGTTTTTTGGGGTCTTGGTCTTGTCTCGGACTCAACCACATTTGAGCTCATTCTTATCTTGGTCTTGAAGGAGCTTGGACTCGCTTTTTTTCACGATCTTGAAGGTGCTTGGACTCGGTCTTGAGGTTCGACACTCGATGAGTGATAAATTATCATGTCACATCTGGTGCTGTCAAACCAGGAAGTAAATTCTAAACTTCACAAAACTAGAAAAAACAAGGCAAGAATTGTAGTAAAATCTTAAATATAGTAATTTAGTAGTCTAACCTGTCATATGCACTTAGTAGTTTGTATCTGTAATGAGTCATAGAAGTTATTTATTCAACCCTCTACGATTAATAAATACTGGTCCCAAAAATAATTGTTCCATCTGTCATATATAGAACGATAAGTTGATATAGTCATTATAGGGACCGGCCTAAATACACAATCTTTAGTTCAGTTATTTTTATTAATTTGGTTGACTTGTCTTTGCTGGACCACTACAGAAGCTGCTTTTCTCAATCAAAGCTGCAGTTTCTTTTCCACAAATGATTTTTAATTTTCGTAACACATTTTTTTTTTTGTAAACAATGGACTTCCAAATAACTTTAAAGATGCATCATGTAACTTCTAACTTATTGCTTTGCCTGTATTGTTTGATAATATGGCATTAAACTTAAACTCAATCATTCCAAACCAATCTAAACTAATTGAATTACAGATGTTTTATTGCTTTTATTGAGAAACATGCATGCATATGTTTAATGACGGTAGTGTTCCTTCTACCAGAAAAGTTACATAGTGCACTTTTAAAGTAACAGATGAGTCTTAATGCTGTTAACAAAATGTATGGTATAAATACATTTTGAGATTAGAAGCCAATTTTCAACTTTCCATTTGGCACGCACAAAAAAAGTGAACTGCACCTTAAAAATTATCTAATTTCTTTGTCTCTGAAATATAAGCATTTGTATGTGATATGAGTATATATTTGAAAATTGACCCTTGAAGCTTCCCATAGGGCATTACCAAGCGGACGATCAATGAATTTAAAAACATATTGCACTTATTTTACAACGGGATTTATTTTATGTAAGTAATTGTACATGTCTTGAATGACGAGGTTTCACACTGTACTGATCACAAGCTATTGTTAAAGGTGCACTATGTAACTTTTCAGCACCGCACACTTGTCTCCATGGAGATATTATTGCTTTGCCTGGAATGTCACAGTATGGCATTAAACTTGTCAATCTCAACAGAGATAAGTAGGTGATTCAGTAATAAATACAACATGGAAATGTGTAATGCCAAGCAATAACATCTCCATGGAGACAGGTGGTGGACTCTTCAACAGAAGTTTTACATAGTGCAGCTGGAAATCAGGTTAAAACAATAATTCGTTGCATTGAAGTAACCATTACCCTTACCTCAGTTTTGACAAATTTACACAACTTACAACTAAATCATATCCATAAGATGATATTTTTGAGCATGTTTTGCATGTGAGTCTTGTCAATGCATTGTCACATGAAGGGTGGGAGGGGGTAGACCTGAAAAACTGCTTTGCTGATACCGACTGTTCTTACATGTGTCTGTTAACAAGCCCAGTAGCATTCTTAGCCATTACGCTCTCAGGGTAACATTGTATAGAAACTGTTTACTAAGTATTTTATACATTATGTTGGAAAATAACAAGTTTATTCATCTGCTTTTCATCTCAGGTAGGTTTTATTTGTTCTTCATGGTTATTACTTTTAATAGGTTTGGTTCTTGTTAACAGTTCACAAATTTTACAGGATTCTGCATGTTTTCACATGGATCTTCTGAATTTCATGTTATTAATAAGATTAAGAGCTATAAAGATGCCAAAAGCTACTGTAGAGAAATGTACACAGATCTGGCTACAATCCACAACTTTTCAGAAATGAATTCTTTGGTTAATATGGTGTCAGACAATGCCAACAGAGCCTGGATAGGACTTGAAATAGAAGACAAACGAACATGGCATTGGTCTTTGCCTGGTCACACACTGGATTATACAAACTGGAAGGAAGGAAATCCTCAAGTAAATGATAAGGATGCATGTGCAGCTATGGATGAAAATGGCAAATGGCTCGAAAGTGATTGTAGAACCAAAAGGAGCTTTTTATGTCACAGTACGTAAAAAAAAAAAAAAAAAACACACACACACAAACGTTCAAAAAATGAACATCAGCTTTTATAAATGAGGTTCTTCGACAGGTAACCAAGGCAGTCACATTTTTGTTCCTGACACTAAATCATGGCGGGATGCACAAACCCACTGCAGGGGCCTGTCTACAGATTTAGTTAGGATA